AGTTTTTTGAACTAGTATGTGGTTTGGGAGAACAAGTAGGGCAATCTGCAGTTTTAAAACCTTTAAGACCACATTTGAAACAAATCACGAATCGTGGTTGAGTACAAGTGTTCAAAGTATGACCTTGTTTACGACAGCGAACACAAAAAGAGCTTTCTTGAGGAGCTTTAGTTTGAGAGAGACTATTAACTTGTCTAGAAGGGTATTTGTAGGATGAAGTGAATTTATTCATAAAGGGAGGAGAAGGTTGTGAGTTATTAGAAGAATTTGAAGAGCCAACTGAACTTGAAGTGGAATGCTTGTAGTTGAATTCAGAAATAAGAGGACTTTGTTGTACATTTGGTTCTTTAAATTGTTTGTCTCTGTCAAGGAACTTTTCATAGTTTTGGCAAGTAGCCAGAAGAGAGTCGATAGAGTCAATGTCTTTTAGAGCTACGAAGACTGAATAACATGGGCGAATATTCCTCAAAATAATCTCCAATTGTTCTGTTTCAGAAAGTTTCTTCGAAAGACGAGCGAACATTCCAGACATGATGGAAATATAGATGACGATAGGTTCATCACGGCCTTGAGTTCGGTTCCTAATCGCTTCTAGAAGTTTATAATCATAATCAAAACCACCAAAGTCTTTGATTAATAAAGAGGAAAGTTCGTTCCAAGTTAAGTTTGGATTCTGATTATATTTAAATCTGAACCAATGAAGAGCATTGTCGGTGAAAATTTCAAATGCTTGAGAGATCAACAAGTCTTTGGATAAGCCGCGAGCTAAGCAGTATTCTTCAAGTTTTTGAAGAAAGGATCTTGGACAGCTTTTACCATTGAACGTGTGTCTTTTCAGATCTTTGAAGACGTTAGTTGGAGAAAAAGATTGAGGTAGTGGTGAAGGATACGGGGTATGGATCGTAACAGATGTTTGAGAAACAAGAGGAGGTTCCATGACAATCGGGTCAACAGGAGGGTCAAGTGATGGAGAGTCATTTTCAGTTGGAGGTGGAGTCAAGGATTCGAATTGTTTAGTAATAGCGTCAAATTTCATCTTCAAAGTATCGAAAATAGCTTTAAAGTCTGGATATAAGTCAGTATCTATTCGCTCCAATCTGTAAAAAACATGATTAATAAAAGTTTCTATTAATCGTAAGTATTTGGTTTCACCTTGTAAAAATTTTTCAATTTTACAGTCCAGGTAAGTCAAAGTAGAACCAATTTGAGACAAGTCATCCTCGATCGGAATTGGAGAAGTCAGAATATCTTCAGGGTGAGAATTCTCAACTAAACGCAAAACCTGTTTTTTTAGAAGCAAAACAGTATTAGCTGGTTCCTCACATCTAATCTTCACTTCGTATTCGAGTTCGGCCTTGTTAAGGAATTCGTACTTAATAACCCGTTTCATCGTTATAATTAAGTGTTAAGTTTAAGAAATAAAAATTTAATAAAAAATTGTACCTCTAGAATAAAAATATTAAAGTGATGAATGTAAGTGAAGTGTTATATGTAGGTCTAAATATAATCCAGATAAGTTGAAAAACTAGATGAAGTTTTGTTTTAGAATTTGGAAGATAGTACCTCTTTAAGTTCTCTAGAATAAAAATATTAAGGTGATGAATGTAAGTGTTATATGTAGGTCTAAATATAATCCAGATAAGTTGAAAAACTAGATGAAGTTTTGTTTTAGAATTTGGAAGATATGATAAGGATGAGTAAATAAAGAGTTAAGAATGAAAGAGAAAGCAATTCAATCAAAAGGAAATGGATAAGGCGTAGCTAAGGTGAAGAAAAAGAAGAACTTTTACGTCGGGCGCCAAATTGTCGTGAAGCGACAATTAAAAACTAAATAACCTAACCTAACTACAACAAAACAACCAAAAAATAAAATAAATTATTTAAAAATTTGAAAAGATTTACAGTTTCTTTTATAAAAAAAAGGTATGAAGGTGATGATGGGCTGTAATGATGATAGTGATTTACAATATTATTAAAAAAAATAACAAAAATAAAGATACTGCAACGAAGTATGCACAGGCTATGCCTATGATAGGTGCGCAGCGCCTGCTCTAGGTACACGCAGAATCTGGAGAAAGCACATGCAGCGTCTGGAGAAGGTACACGCAGCGCTTGGAGTAGGCCCACGCAACGCCCGGAGCAGATACACGCAGCACCCGGAGTAGACACGCAGCGTCTGGAGTAGGTACACGTGGCGCTTGAAGTAGGCAAACACAACGTCCGGAGTAGACACACACAGCGTCCGGAGTAGACACGCAGCGTCTGGAGTAGGAACACGCAGCGCTTGAGACAAGCACGCTCAGCGGCCGAAGATAGCGCGGGCACTAATAGGTGGAGGCGTAGGCGTGGCTAGGCGACGACTTCAGGAGAAGGCTTGCAAGATCCCGAGGCAGTGCGGATAAAGCCTTTAAGAGGTGCTTCTCGTATCAAAGCTGAAGTGAGGCCTCTATCGGCCGATTCTTCGGCTTTTATACTTTTTGACGGATCTGGGATAAGAACGAGAAATTATTTGAAATTATTTAAATTAAAAGCAAATTTTTGTAAATGGCCAAGAAGAAAAGAGTATTTTTGAAGTAAAAACATCAGGCCGGTAACAATATTTGAATAAAAATTGCCACGACAACCAGATAAACAACGATGTCAAAACATGTCAAATTTTGGTTTTAAGCTCGTAATACAGAAACGGCAAGATTTAAGTGAAAAATGAGATATTATTTATATAGGAAAAAAGGTAGCGCAAGAGCGCGCACGAAACCCGAAATTGTAGAGTTACGGAGAACTAAATAAAAGATCGAAAAAGGTAGACTCCATTGACACCGATTTAAAAAGTGCTGATAACGTGAAAATACGAAGTGAAAATGATTTGTTATTGTGTTCTTATGAATTAAAAATATTACAGGATCCTATGGAAATAAAGGTGATGCAAAATATCCAGTTTTGAGGTGAATGTAGAAAATCAAAAACAGAATGGAAAAATAAAAATAAAATAGTGTAAAATGATATGTAAGTATGTATGTAAGCATAACACTACAAAGTATGTTTATCAGTTGTCTAGTACCCATAACACAAGCTCTGCTTAGCTTGGGACTAGATGGCGTTGTGTGATAGTTGTGGAATATTATTATTATTATATTATTGTTGGGGTATCTGTATAGTTTTCTCATCTGGTTGGTTTTTATAAATATAAATTAAAATGAAAAGATAAATATACATAAATATCAATAAAATAAAATAAATACAAAAAATATACAAATAAATAAAGATCCAACCATATTAAATAAAAAATAGTCTCCTATCTTTCTCTCTATGTTTTGATCTCCTAAAACGAGTTTGAGTTGGTAAAATCAAGGCAAACTTAGGGTAGGGTTGTCAATTATTATTTTGATAATAAAACTAGTGAAATTCCGCGGTTTTATATGCGCAAGCGTGAACGTAGTTAGAACATAATATAACCTTTATGTTTTACATAAATATCCTAAAAAACTTATTATTTTAATATTTTACTAAGTACCTATGAAATTAACAAGTTTATTGCATTTTTATTTGAGTAATTTTTTATGCAATTTCTTTATCTACGTCTATTTTTAGGAACCTTTATTTAGTCTGAATCATACATAACACTATATTACTGATTTACTTACTTATACGTAGTTTTCTTTTTTTGCAGTTACAAATATCTTGTGAGGTTGAAAAAGGCAGTAATGAAAAAAATAATAAGAATAATAATAATTGACGTCAGCCACTTCTTTTCATAAAAATTTCAGATCATGGTCCATTAGGTTGCAGCTTCACCGAACCACAACTTATAATAATAATAATAACAGTAATAATATAATATTATTTTGTATTTATTTTATTTTATTGATATTTATGTATATTTATCTTTTCATTTTAATTTATAATTTTTATATATTTAAATATTTATATAACCGAACCAGATGAGAAAATTATACGGCTCCAACGATTTTAGTGACGAACGCTTGGATTTATTTTTAGAAAATGTCCTTTTGTCCATGTTTTCAGGCAATAAAAAAACTGCTACAATATAAGAAGGTAAATTTGTACAAATCACTAACGGTCGTTATAGCTCAGGTGGTATATCGGTCGGGCGTGATATCGGAGTTCCGTGGTTCGCGTCTTGGCTTTGGTCCCGCTTTTTTTTTCCTTTTTTTTTCAAGTTCCCTTCTTTTGTGAGAAAATCTATTATTTCAAACCTTTTTTTTAGTAATTTTTAAAAATACGAAAATTTTAATTTTAAAAATTTAAAAAAAAATATCTATTTAGTTACTAATGCTATATTTATTATTTTAATAATTACCTACCCAGTAGGTAATAGTAAACAGTAAATCTCCCTCAAACTCAATTTACTAATATTGTTCCTAAATAAGGAATAGCAGATAAAATATTAGTAGGTAATAACTATTGCTCCTCAAAATTATATTTGACCTCAAGGTAAAACATATCCTAAAATTCAGTAGCTAAATAAAATAATAATACCTACTATTCAAGTATATTTTCAATATGTAAGTAAATGAAAATAACAAAAATGAAGCACCATTAACATGTAAAGTTCGAATCCATAATTAATATTTCGACAAATATAATTTACACTATAAAAAGCTAATTCAATATTAGCAGTATAGTATATAGTTAAATATAATCAAAATAGTCATTTTTATTAATTAGATAATATATTAGAATACATAATTCTAATATAATGCAACTAATATACCGAATAAAGAAAATTAAAATACATTTATCATTGTACGCCGTGTCTATTTCCATAGAATAGTTCATTGACATTGAAAAAATAATACTACGTTCGTAGCAGTAGGTGGCGTCTTTTGGCGATTTCTTACGCGATATATTGTAGCGAGCGTCGACAGACCAAACGCTCAAGGTCGTTCGCTGGAGGTAGCGCCTTAAATTGACGGACGAATAGTTTGTTATAAGATCTGTTCTTACATGTTTCTAGAATATAGAATGTTGGTCTTTTCCAGCCATCAAAAGGCTTTGTGAACATGCTCGACGACGTTGTTATTTACAACGACCCCTATGGCGTGGTGTTGGTGATCGGTGCGTGGAACTATCCCCTTCAGCTGCTGCTGCTACCGATGGCAGGCGCCATTGCCGCCGGTAACGTGGTCATTGTGAAGCCGAGTGAATTGGCGGTTGCCTGCGCGCAGTTCATCGCCGAAATGATTCCAAAATACTTGGACAATGTAAGTGGTAGCTTTCACCTAAAAAAAATCCTTTTTATCATAGTAGTATATTTCCAGCTTCAGAAATGGGACGCTTACTGAAGTATGATTATTATACGTCTATTTTAATGCTACATAATTTTCTGTTGTGTATAATCTATTTGTTAACATAAGGTGGGTATTTTCTGAAAATAAAAGTTAGTTCTTAATAATAAATTACATATCGCAGCATATTCTAACTTCTGCAGCACGAATGGGTCGAGTCGACCGGGGGAGGATCAATTTGGCACAGATTTAGTGTTGGCCGGCGTGGATTCGATAACCTCTGCCTGATAATGCTGCACTCTGTCAGAGAAGTATATGTCCAGCTGCAGAAGTGACTGGTATATCTGTTAAAAAAAGTTAATGTTACAGCCTATAATATGTCCCACTGCTGGGCACGGACTTCCTCTTATTTCTGAGAGGGTTTTAGTGCAAGGAAATGTCCTTCGAATTTTTCATTCTTATTTCTCATACATGCAGGTTTCCACGATGTTTTCCTTCACCGCCTAGCGCGTGGTAATCAGCACTTACAATTGCAATTAACAATTTCATTGGCGCCGGCGGGGATCGAACCCAGTTTGCTCGCGTACTGTGAATTATACAGCGAGCGCTAATCATCTGGGCTACCATGGCTCTATGGTATACCTGTATCTGGCTGGTAATACTATGCTCAATGCCAGCCTGTCACCAATTTATGGTATTTGATTTGGCATTCAAGATTTACCATGTATCGATCGCCACATACAGGTGAAGGTAGCATTAAAAAATAACCCTATAATCACCCCTGATGATAAACATTTTCGGTTTTAATACAAAACTTGGTTTATTGGTAATCTCGGGTTTAAACTGTGTTTAAAGAAATCTTTCACGACAGAAGCTCCATACCGATCGAGGCGTAGACGCCACAGACTTCGCGAATTTGAAATTTCCGGTCATTGCATACTTTAGATTTTCTTCTTATTTAGGATTTTTTAAAACAGACTTTGAACTTTTCGCCTTAAACCTGATACTCCTTAATAAGTCTTAATTATTTTTGTAATAACATCGATTGATTTCATATTTTATTTTTAATTAAGTCATTTGCATTTTGAAAACATTTCTAGGACGCAGTGATAGTGGTAGAGGGAGGTCCTGAGGAAACCACCGAGCTCCTGAAACAAAGATTCGACTATATTTTCTATACCGGCGGAACCAACGTGGGAAAAATCGTGTACGAAGCCGCCACCAAATATCTTACGCCTGTAACTTTGGAACTGGGTGGAAAAAGGTTAGTAATAAGAAATTTAAAATTTTACGTCAAAATACCTTAAAATATGAAAAATCTGTTACAAATTTAAAAAAAAAACTTGTTTGAGAAATTTTGTTAAAAAAGCCTACCATAAAATAAATCGTGTCGGTATACATAGACGTAGGTGTCTATATGACACAGCATCCACTCACCATCAGGTGGAATGTGTGCTCCCTGGTCACCTTTATTCTATAAAAAAAATTAACATATGTATTGAACACGATGTGTGAAAACAACTCTTACTCTGCACTTGCAAGTCCCCTGGTTACTGATATTATTTTGTTAAAACTGTTAATTTAAAAATATTTACCAAAATTTTTAACAAACTCCCAATTTTAATAAAAAAAAAATAGAAAACACACTAATTTTATAAATAAACTAAAGGAATTTTTAATTTGTAAACACTACTACCACAGAATAATCTTTAATCTTTTTTAATGATTTTCTCTTGTATCGTAGGGGCAGTTTACAAACATAAATTGAACAAGGACAAACATCCAGACCCGGAACAACTATTTGTAGGCCATACAAATATTGGTTCCGTGCGGGATTCGAACCCGCGATCCCCAGCGCAGCCACTCATTGCTAAGCCAATGCGCCACAGAGTCGTCAAATAATAGTACTACGTACAGAAGTTTCACTCTTTTGATGTTGACTGCTTGCCGACGTTTAATAGCCTAAATAATAATAATTAATAAGATAAATTGCACAAGCAAGCTAAATAAACCTATATCGCTGCACGCGAGTGTCCGCATTACTTTGCATCTTTCCCATTCCCACATCACGGCTGTTTTTCCGTGGTTACTTAGGGCTGTCAAGAATATATTAAAAATATATTAAAACACATGTAAGTAGGTACTTATTAAGCTTATAATATGTTTTTTTTTATATAGAAAAGGGGGGCAAATGAGTATGCGGCTCACCTGATGTTAAGTGACTACCGCCGCCCATAATCAACCACAACACCAGGGGAATAGCAGGTGCGTTGCCGGCCCTTTAGAAAGGAGTAAGCTCTTTTCTTGAAGGTCCCCAGGTCGTATCGGTCCGGAACAATCGCCGGTGGTAAACTATTCCACAGAGAGGTTGTACGCGGAAAAAAAAACTCCTTTTGAAAAGTACAGTGATGGACCGCCAAGCATCCAGATGGTGTGGATGGTATCGGGACACTGACCTCTATATATACAAGTACGCTGGACTGGCTATACACCGTGACATGATGAAGCGATTTGATTTCCGCCATTTTGGCGCTGACATCAGAAGTGCACGTCCACGGAACTAATACTAGGGATAAGACAGTGTACCAAATTATATCGATAAAAATTCTATACCCTGCCTATACCTAAATAAATAGAATGGACTCTATGGATAGATGGACTCTACCCATAACGTCCTTTCTATTTATGTATCATATTAATATAATGCCATTATCATTCATCATCATTAAAACCCTTCACAAATCCACTGCTGAACATAGGCCTCCCCCAAGGAATGCCACAAAGCACGGTCCTGAGCTACCTGAGTCCATCAACTTCCTGCATGTCTTACCAGGTTTTGACTCCATCTAGTGGGGGAACGTCCTACACTTCACTTGCCAGTACGAGGCTGCCACTCGAGAACCTTTTTTCCCCATCGGTATTCGGTTCAATGCAGCGGGCATTGGAAGACATTTTCAACCTACTCGACTGGAAAGGATACGGTATTAACGTCAATGTCGTGTACGTTACGCTGCAAAAATTTGAGATTGAAACTAGATTAAAAATAAATGTATTCAATCACTTTCAGTGCAACTAGTAGAGATGTCGTTGTTTATATTAATTATTATTTGATTTTCAAAAATGCAGTCAAAATTAATGTCTCTTTCAAAACTATCCATCATCTTTTGTGACGTGGGCACATGCTTCAACGAATATAGAAGAAACAGTCCAAAAAGTTAAAACCGAGTCACAAAATAAAAACACATACACAAAATCACAAAATAACATACAGTAAGCTCTCGAAACAGAAACAGAAACTGTTTTATTCAATATAGATTATGAATAATACTTATTGAAAATCACTTTTGTCATTTACCACTGGTCCCAGTAAAAATACTCATCAACAACTTCAGCTAAGTGCTCCCAAAAACCACAGGCATAGGTGTGACATAGACATTACACATGACTTTTGTTTTGTCCATGTTCATCTTAAGACCTATCCGTTGGGAGACACGATTGAGGTCATTGAACATAGTGCGTAGGTCCTCCAGCAATTGTGCCATTAGGACTATATTGTCGGCAAATCGAAGGTGAGTAACGTACACGACATTGACGTTAATACCGTATCCTTTCCAGTTCAGTAGGTTGAAAATGTCTTCCAATGCAGCGGTAAAGTATTTCGGGGATATTACGTCACCCTGTCTTACACATCTCTACAGTTGGATTAGTTTTGTACTCTGGTTCTGTACTCAGATAGCCATCATAGCCCTTAACCATTCAACTAAAAAAATATTAAGATTAAACTAAGTACACAAAATAAAAATAAAAACATAATTTCTAGAATAATTTATTGTCAACTGTTCACTTTGTTTTAGTATTATAAAAAACAAATCAGCTGCTATAATAACGCCTATTCTAATCAACTACAGGTCTGTCTATTGACAGTAAAATATTTTCTATTATATAAAAATTTATGTTTGTTCGTACTTTCTACGATGCCATACCGTTCATCAGATTGCGGTAAAACTTAGTCAATTTATTGGTTGCACTTGCGAGAAGGATATACGCATGGTACAATTAACTGACACTAGGTGGCGTGCGTATTATACTGACTATTTATTTGAAAGTTATAGAAAGTTATATATCATTCTATTTCAATGATTGTATTATCATTCCTAATTATACAATATAACTGTTCCACATTTTAACGATATTTCCACAATTATTTCTTCTGAGGCAGCAATGCGCCGGGTATGAGCTAGTAAGATTATATAAAAAAATATAAACTTTGAACTACATAGTTATCAGTTATTTACAACGTCATTTTCGAAATTAAAATTACAATATTAAAAAAAAATAACTAAAATTATCAATTACCGAGCCCGATATGTGAATGGAGCCAGGGAAAAACGAGCACTTAGAAGCAACAAGTGGTGCAACCTCACCAAAGTCGCGAAAAACAGTCGAGTGGCGCATCGTCAATCGCCATACCAACACTCCTCTTCCAGCAGTACAGGGAGAGGAAACTCCTCTAGCCGCAGCCCACTAACACACATCCAACGTGACTCGACATCATCAGGCGACCTTTCGACACTTGGCTATGTCCCTTGAGTTTGGTGGAAAATTAGGAAAGAAGAAATAAAAAATCATTCGAAATAATAATCTAATACTTAGTACTTGGTAGCTGGTAGTGCTTGGTACTGGTACCACCAAAAAATATTGTCGGTATACTGCACTTTTTCAAAGTGGTGCAGTTCTCATATCTAATAAAACAGTCGTCTGTGAAATGTTTGGAACAAATATGATCATTTTGTTTCGGACGCCAATTAACAATATTTATGATATTAAGCCATAATTTTAGTCTAGGTTCAGTTGGAAACCTGTTAATTAATAAACATTTGATAACCATTTGTTGTTGGTGACTTTGTTTGTTAACAGATATGGGTAGGAAAGAACATCGATAATTATTATAGACAAGGAACTCGACAACCCTATTGAATTTTATTGTTTATCAAAACTCAGTAATATACAGCTAAATATGTTGGTATATATGATATTAAGATTAGTAACAAATTTCTACGTACTTATATTATCAAATAGTTTTAATTTGTTTAATATTTACTGCAAATTCACTTACTTGTGAAATGTTATACCACTTCCCTTTTGGTAACGAGTTTTACAGATTACGCACCCTCTCATTATTAATGAAAATAATTCTTATTATGTAACTAATATTATACACAATCAAACAAAATAAAATACTTTCGTTTTTTAGTTTAAAAGTTCAAAATACAGACTTATTAAATATGACAATATGAATAAGACAACATACTTTGGCATATTATGTCAATTTTATTTTTCAAGACATCCTTCAGCGGCGCTTCAAATTGGCACAGTCATTTTGTATGGTATAGCCAGTCCAGCGTACTTGTATATATAGAGGTCAGTGTATCGGGACGTTTGCCGCGTAGTGCGTCCACGAAATTTGGCGGCTGGGATTAATCCGAACAATTCCTCAGAGCACTCTCCATAGTATATACGAAAGAAAAAATGCAAAGAGATGCAACATCTCTTCGCAGCGCCAGTGAATCGAAAAGCCATCGGAAAGCACTCGGTCGTCGACGATTCGAGCCGCTCTGCGCTGGATGCGTTCAAGTGGAAGGAGCTGGTATTGGGGAGTCCCAGCCCAGAGATGGGAACAAAATTCCATGTGCGGCCGAATCTGCGCCTGTATTAATATAGGCTCATTTATCTACTATTTATGCATACTTCTATTTACGGATGCCCTTCACCAAGGCATAGAATAAATAATTTGTAGTGCTATTCTTACGTTACCAAGGTTTGCCTGGAGGAGATCTCTGTTAAGTGATGAGGCCACCTAATTGTACATAAATTTATATGTTGTGTGCAATAAAGAGTATAAATAAATAAATTAATCAAACGTTACGATATGGTAAGTAAAATTGGTAAGGTACCTATTCTGACTGATCAAATGAACATATTTTTGCTACTATGCGAATTCTGTGCCTAACGCATGCAACGTGCAGTCACTCGTCGCGAATCGTGATGTAATAAATCGCTCGAAAGAAATAGGTAGGTAGTGTAAACAACAAATGAACCTGAAATACGATTCCTAAATGAAATGTGATTGTATTCTAATTATTTAAAAACTTGTACGCAAAGTTTTAATTTCAGTGCTTTGTGATCAGTGATAACTTAAAATATTTTAATTACAAAAGACATGTAAGTTACCTACTTCAATTTACCTGTGTAAATTTCGTAAGTTACCTACGTAAATTTCAACTAAATCTTGTAATAAAGTACTTAAGTAATACTTCTGTATTTAAATTATTACGTAATTCTTTTTCGCTATAAGTATTGATTTAACAAAAAAAAAAACGAAATAAATGTACCTTTCATTATCCTTAGGTAACTTAAAAATGATATATCTGAATCATTTTGTTTGATCATTATAAATCCATCCACGCAACAATTATAGTAGGTTCGAAGTTTTGTCATTATAATTTATCAAATAGATGGGTTTATATTATTATAATATTAGTAATGTTAATTAATAGGATTACTAATATTTAAAAAAAATCACATTTAAAAAATTTGAACTATTTTATCTTACAATTAAATACTAAACACTAAACAAAAATTACAACAAGTGTTTACAAAGTAAACAGCGTTAAAAATACATCAATCTCCTAGAACGCGCTAGCCCCGACTGCGTATTACACCCTGGGTGAATCGCGATTTTAGGTAATTATTTCACGCAGGTAGCAAGAGTGACAGAGGCTTGCTACTACACACTAAACGAATACCTAAATGACAGACTTTAAATGTCTACCTAGAATACCTACAGTTGCTATAGTGTATTCATCATTATTGTTTCATTAAAATGGCCCTCCTCTCTCCTAATTGGCGTGCTCTGCAGGGTCCATAATGATCTCATAGTTTTAAGTTAAAACTTAAAATGTTCTTAACATCTTAACTGTAACATTATGGATGCAATAAATAATATGAATATGAATAATTATATGTTCTAATTGTATTTTTTCATCGCATACCGCATAGTGGCGGTGTAAGAATATCTACTACTCCATATCACTCCGTGGGTGTCGTAAGAAGCGACAAAGGGAAACTGAAGCAAGTATGCCAGCAGCATTTGCCTGATAACAACTCAAAATAATAAACTACGGTTGCCCGCTCGCAAAGCGTGGCAACTATGGCAAAATCCTCTATGGTGGTGACCTATGTTAAACAGTGGACTTTTATATGTATAGGCTGTTATGGTAGTAGTAAGTTGTAATCATTGTAACAACCTCGAAGTGCAGCAGCTATTTATTACCCAGAAGAAGTGCGTTAGAATACTAGCCCAGATAGACAACAATACTAGCTGTAGGTCGTATTTCAAAAAACTAAATATTCATACCTTACCCTGTATGTACATTTATAATCTATGCCTGTTTGTCCACAAAAATAATAATATTTTCAAGAAGATTAAAGATACATATAACATAAATACACGTTAACAAAAATAAATTATACCTACCACAGTCGCGAACAAAAATGTTTGAAAAATGTTCAGAATTAACCAAATTTCAATCAAGCCTCAGTAATGTACTGTACTGTACTCTTCATTTGTTGGGCGCTGGTAGAATAACAGCGTTGTGGGCAACTGCAACATTTACGCTGAGTTAGAGCCTATTCATTACTACACTATGTAATTATGGTTATTTCTGTGCGTACTGCTTACTGTAATTTTATTGGTGGTAATGAATAAATGTTATTGTTAAATATTTAAAACAAAACCCCTTCTACTCAACTGAGGAGTATGTAGATAAAAAAAATAATATTATGTATTTTAAATTTATGTAGCTTCTAAGTATATTTTATGTACATAAGCGTTGTCCTTGTTAAATTTGCAGTGCCTGAAAAAGGCGTCTAAGTTGTAAGCACATTTTTAATTTAAGACCGATTATGTACACTTGGATTGCAAATAAATGTTTTGATTTGATTTAAATGAATTTATAACATGGCATAAAAAAATGACCCAGATTTTCATGCCGGTACTTTGAGGTTTAGCCTTCGCGAACCGGTGTTTATTTTGAATTTCATAAGAGCTTTAAAGAAGCCGGCCTATGTTGTATTGAAAAAAAAACTATAATTTTGATTATGTCTTGATAGTTAAAAAACAAAATTTGTATTGTTAACTCAATAGTCTTTATCAATCTAATTTAATAAAAGTTAAAACAAACATGCATTATACGGTCAGTAACCCTAAATCCGGGTTACGATACAATATATGTAATATGGAAGTTGTGAAAAAGGATAGAAATAAATGACTTCGTTTTTTTTTTAAACTCAGTGCTTTTATAGTTTTAAAAAAGGTATTTAAAATTGATGTGAAACATTCTACTTTGCCAGTTTATTATACGCTCAGAGCAATAACATATGTACAAAGCTTGTACTTATTCTGAGACTTTGCGATATATTTGCGTATTAAAATAAGTATCCCACATAGTTTAAGAAGTATATGATATGTAACGTAATTAACGCACACCCTCAGACACCCCAATTAGTATATTATGTTATAATCATAATACATACACTGAATTTTTAGTTAAACATTTTTATGCACTGATTATTTATCGAATTAGTTATACTAATTCCGGAAGAATTTTGTAGTCACAGTACAAATCCACGACCGCAAAGACTAACGTGCTTGAAATAAAGTTCATTTTTCTTTATTTTTATTGAATGACAGAATTAGTAATAATACAAATAAAATTGCACTCTTAAAAGTCTTATTGAATTTCAGTTTGTTTTGACTGTACAGATTTAGTGTGACTGTAATTTACGTAGTTTAAATTATTTTTGGGATAAAACAGTAAACGATTCTGAACAAACTACTTTCTCAAAGTGCGTTAGTTATGTTACGTGTTGTTACATAAAAATAAGTATAAATTAAACGCAATAAAATCCATAAAAATATTTAGTTGCTTGTAAAGTGTGGAATTGGTATATTCATGTAAACATAAAAAATCAATACAAAATTATCAATTTATTGTAATAGGTAATAAAAAAAATTCCTTTACCAAAGTCGTACGGTCATTTAAAATATTAAGTATGCGCTTCCAAAAAAATTGCTGACAACAAGTGGTAAACCTAAAAATGTTGTAAAACCAACTTAAATATAAATAAAATGAGAAGTACAACATAAATAAAATGCGTATTTGAGACTTCGAAAGTCAAATACTCATTATTAAGGATTACTCAAAACTACTGGTCATATCATTGGATCATGGGACCACATGAAAAGCATCAGCTTTCAAATAAAATAAGAATCATCAGAATCGGTTCACTTAGAAAAATTTCTAACGCACATAAAAAAATACAGTCGAATTGTGTACCTCTTCATTTTTTGAAGTCGGTTAAAATATTGCAACTCATGCTGGGCATAGCTATATAACTTATAAATCGTCATCTATGCAGCCGAAGCCCCAGGTATATATAATATTTTGTATCTTGTCATTTTGCTTACAGCCCAGTGTACATAGACAGCACTGTAGATATCAGAGTCACAGCAAAGCGAGTCCTGTGGGGCAAATTTATCAACGCTGGACAAACTTGCATCGCACCGGACTACGTGCTATGCACCAAGGAGGTTCAAGATAAGTTTATAGAAGCCGCCAGGGACGTACTCAAAGAGTGGTACGGAGACGAAGCACAAAAATCGCCGGACCTGTGCAGAATTATAAACAGTAGACATTACAGGTAAGGGTCGTTTTTGTTATTTAAGTTTTTTTAAATGTTTAAGCTGTTAAACCTGAGCGAAAAGTCGTATTTTAAGTAGAAGAGCATATCTTCTGTCTCTTTTTGTTATTGTCAATATGGTTTCCTGTTACACAGTGGAAAACTTAACAACTGTATAATTTTAGAAAGTGGACATATACTCGGATAATAGAAATGTTAAGGGCGCGTCACTTAACCGGCTCTACGGAAAGTGTAATCCGCTTAAATGTGCTTAGGGAAGGTGACAGACTATAAAATCCTCTTAACACATTACGGAGGGAAGCCCTTGTAATGGGAAATATATTTAGTTCCTGTTCTCAACTTCTCGCTTCAATCAGTTTATCAGTATTTCAAGGAACTGATATGACACTTGAAGCTTTCCCATTTGATTACATTTACTGCAGTGGTGATGTAAGAGAATTCACTACTCCATATTCTGTAAGTGTTGTAACAGACGGTAAGGATAATGAAACAAACATGGGCAGAAGCATTATCCTGATAACTCAAAATAATAGTAAATGCGATCGCTAACTAACAATTCGGACAAATTTCTCCCCAATAAGGCGATCTATGGCGAGACCTACGTTCAGAAGTGCAATTTAAACCCTATAATGGATGAATTTATGAATACATACATAAACACTCACGCCTGTCACCCAGAGGGGTAGGCAGAGACTACAGACTTCCATTTAGCACGATACTGACATACCTTTCTCGCCTCTTCCACATCCATGTACCAACGCATACATGCTCGTCGGTTAAGGGTACTCTTAATTTGGCTCATTTTTAGTATATCGCCAATTTGGTCGACGAACTTCTGCCTAGGACGTCCCTTTCCGACTCTTCCATTCACTTCTGCAACATATATTTGCTTTGTCAGTCTTTCCGCATTCATTCTTTCTACATGACCAAACCTCCGAAGCATTCCTTTCTTAATCCTGGTCACCGCATCATCTTGTAAACCACACTCTTCTTTTATCAGTTTATCACACAGTTTCTCACCCTGTCACTCAGATTCAGCCCTAACATACTCCTTAATTGCGACCGCATTTCTACTGCATTTATTCTACTCTCATGCTTCTTCTGCCACACCCTACTTTCACTACCATACGTTAAAGTAGGGACTAATACAGCACTGTGAATTGCCACATTTATTGCCACTGTGAATTTATGAATAGTTTTATGAAATATCCAGATTTATAAAAACAGACATGGAACAAAACCGTAGGTGTTTTTAGAAGCTTTACGCGTATTCTGTGGCACGAATGTGAAACATTACCAACTTCCTGACTGTGGGCTGATGCCTGCGAATTTCTCCAGAGAAAAACCTGATAAGTTTTGATCCAAACCGAGATTTGTACCCGGGACCATAATAATATCGATTTGTGATTATATTCCGCTTTAATCTTAAAACGCTATTATAAAATAGTACGGCTTGACAAAAGAAATATTTAACCTTTTCTTACTTACACTTATACTCTAAAGCCTCATTTACATTCAGCCCCTGCCGCTGCTCCTCGCGCTGCCGGCAATACTTCGCTAAATACTGCCGTAACAGGATCGCGGGAAGTGTATATTTACACTCTGCCCTGCCACTCACATCACTTTCGGGCTTTCGACTATGGCAGACGTCGAAATAATTGCAGCGTCCGCGCTGTGTCTTTTTTGCAATACAAAATTATATTAATAATTTAAAAAGATATCAAGTTCAAAAGAAGATAGATGGTTAGATAGAAAATTTATTTGCTTAAAAACATGGTACATAAGATGATCAATGACGTGGAACTGACATGTTTTGCCATAATTGGCATGCAAAAATGATATGAAATACAGCTAATTACACAAACCCAATGTTACATTTTAAAATTATTGCATTGCTTAAAAGTTAGGTGCAAACATTCTTTTTGAATTTTAATATTATGTACAATTAAATACTTATACAATCCTCTTTGAATTCTTATACAGTAAATTGTTCATAAATTATTAATTGAATTATTACATTATTGTTACATAAATAATATTAAATGTTATATGATTAGTTAAGCTATTATTATTTCAATAATTACATTACTTTCAATAATCACCCATTCTTAATGCGGATTAAGAATGGGTGAGTTAACCGTCAAATGCTTTTTTGTACGCCGATGACAAGTTATCCTTGCGTCGTCGGCGGCCGAGTTGCAAATGATGGTTACATTAATGAACAGATCATTAAAAGAAAGGGGTATGAAAGTGAACGCAAGTAAGACGAAGGTTATGGTTTTTGAAAGAGAAGAAAGTAAAACGATTTGTGAAATAAGAATAGAAGGGGAATTGATCGAGCAAGTAGATGAGTTTGTATATTTGGGCTGCGTATTTAGCAGGGATGGGAGATGTGATAAGGATATAGAACGACGAGTGAATGCGGGAAATAGAGTAAATGGGGCCCTGCACTCTATTGTGAAGAGTCGAAATGTGTCAAAAAAAGGCACGTATGGCAATTCACAATGCTGTGTTGGTCCCTACTTTAACGTATGGTAGTGAAAGTTGGGTGTGGCAGAAGAAGCACGAGAGTAGAATCAACGCCGTAGAAATGTGGTCGTTAAGGAGTATGTTAGGGCTGAATCTGAACGACAGGGTAAGAAATTGTGTAATAAGAGAAGAGTGTGGTTTGCAAGATGATGTTGTGACCAGGATTAAGAAAGGAATGCTTCGGGGGTTTGGTCATGTAGAAAGAATGAATGAGGAAAGAGTGACAAAGAAAATTTATGTTGCAGAAGTGAATGGCAGAGTCGGAAAGGGACGTCCTAGACGAAAATTTATCGACCAAATTGGCGATTTATTGAAAACGGGTCAAATTAGGAGTACCCTTAACCGACGAGCATGTATTCGTGGTGTATGGATGTGAAGGAGGCGAGAGAGGTGTGCCAGGATCGTGCCAAATGGAAGTCTGTAGTCTCTGCCTACCCCTCTGGGTGAAGGGTGTGTTTATGTATGTATTTATGTACACTACGGTATAAATTAATTCATAATTTTAATTACAATAAAATTATAATTTAAAAATCTCAGACTATTATGCAAATATTACCATTTAACTTATTTTACATTTTAATAAATAAATAATCAGTCTGAAACTAAATTTTATATTAATATAATAAATTTGACGATTTTATAATTAATTATGTACATAGGTACTATGTTATCTCAAAAAGAAAATTCGTATTCGTAGAAGATGATGAATTGTGTTTTTTATCTTTGAAATTCCATATATTTTTCTGATTCCAGTAGTTCTAAAAACTTTATTGTATTTTCATTATTCCATTCAAAAGGCATTTTGGTAGATCGAACTTATTTAATAACGAGACGGCACGCACGTCCGTTCATCCAAGGCGCTTGGCGCGAAGTGAGCGATGGAGCTGAATGTGAACACTCACTGCCGCTCGCGCTGCCCGTCCTTTGACTTCCGCACGAAAAACCGACATTTGAGGGATCTTCGGGCAGTGTCAGCGCGAGTAGCCTGTTTACATACTGCCCTGCCCACTGCCCTGCTCACTTCCCTGCCCAACAGGGCTGAATGTAAATGGGGCATTAGAAATACATTTTGACAGCTGTCAGACTTATTGCACCAAGCATGTCAACCAAAAATGGGAATCTTAAAAAAATCGATATCGATTATTTAGAATTGGTAATCATTTACAGTTTGGTTTGAATAATAAGTACTAGAATAAATTAGAAACGGATAATTTAAAGCACAAGATTTATCAGTTTCTGCGTATTTGTTGTTACTGCTTATTTCTAGAGTTTAGATTAATTAATATTTGATTTTCAATAATGCAGTTAAAATTAATGTCTCTTTCAAAGTCATCCATAATCAATTTTTTGTTTTTTCTACCACTTGCCCAATTATCCTTTGTGACATGGGCACATGCTTCAATGAATATAGAAGAAACATTCCAAAAAGTTAAAGCCAAGTCACAGAATAAGAAGACAAACACAAAATCACAAAATTACGCACAGTAAGCTTGAAATGACGGGAGATTGAAATTTGTGTGTTTTGGCGACCTTGTGTTGTGAGTTTTTTTTTGCCTATACACATTTACGTTAACAAAGTAAAAAAATAAACTTGTTTTATTCATTGATTAATGTAATTTAATTTATTAAAATTAAAAAAATAATGATTCGATTATTTGAATATTTTTGCCGATTATTCGCGTAACAATGAATTTTAATCATCCAATCACTACGGTAAGGTACATAGCGACTTCAAATAAAAAATTTGATACTGGTTATTTTTTTTTTATATTTTGCTTTGTTTAAAAGATTCGAATTTAATTTAGTGATAAGAAACTATACACGTTGTAATTAAATATAGATAACTTCATAATTCTTAGGATTTACGTAAAAGGTTATTTTCAATCGTGTGAGTACGCTTGGGCAAAGTTATTGCAAAATGATTAATGTGAAACGTCAAAAGGTATTTCTTAGATTTGGTTGACTATAGTAGCTGCCCGAGATCCACCAAGCCTCTACTGACCTCTCTTTTTATTACAGCCGCCTCCAAGCTTTAGTTGACGCTTGCAAAAGCAAAATCGCAATCGGCGGTGGTTACGATCCAAAAGAAAGGTTTATTGAACCCACCATAGTGGCTAATGTGACTGGAGGCGAAAAAATAATGGAGGACGAAATATTCGGTCCCATTCTTCCAATAGTTCCAGTTGAGAACGCTTACGAGGCCATCAAATTTATTAATGCCAGGTAAGTTACAATTATTCATTACACATTTCAACGTAGGGGACACAATTTTATATGAAATCTTGTTGTAAACGGCTATGCGAGGTCACAATGTGTAACCACAATATATTGGTCACATAACATATAGCCTGCTCATTATTTCTTTGATTGACATAATTTGATAGTAATATCCTGCATTCTGGTTGTAGTACAAATAAGTCGGCTCGACTTATTTGTACTACAACCAGATCGTACGGGAAAGTACATCTCTCAAAGAATACCAGCGTAAAATAGTAGGTTAATACTGTCGTGTTTTGTATGTTGAGTGTGAAGAACCGGTTAATCTTTTCACTAGAAACGAGGCATTCCATCTTATTCCTCAGGGTTGACAACGCATCTACATTATGATTCTTAATCGAGGTTAAATGTAGATGTCTTTGGGCCACAGCATCCACTTTCCACAAGGTGGACTATCTGCCCGCTTGTCACATACCCCCGGTAATCCGACAAACATTTTGCACAGCATTATCGGATTATAGAGTACTGCCTAAGACCCCTCTAGTCCGGAATTTTACCTTTGTACCTTTTACCTTGTAATCCGACAAATTACAGATCCAATGATAAGATTCTATATATGTTATGTACTCTGAAGTACAAATCATACTTCATTATGTATGTCAAATTTAGTAAATTAAATAACACATAGATAGCTTACGTTTTATTATAAAATCAACGTCATTAAAGCTATAGAACTTACAAAAATCAAAAATTATGAATCAATCAATTTAAAAGCGTTATCAAGAAGCACTAAAGCTTTTTGAGGAAAATTATGATCTTACAACCATTATTTTTATCAAATTTTTCTATCAGAATCAAAACAATACCCTACGCGTCGAGCACAATAGTGGTGGGGCGTACAAGTTATAACTTGTTCAATCATGCCTTAGCGAAGATTGTCAAAAATTATAGTAAATAATAGACCGTGTCGGATTACAGGGGGTGTCGGATTAGACAGGGGCCGGATTACCTGGGGTCCACTGTATGTATATATATATATATATGTAAGCTAAATCTGATGACTTATCAATGCCACATGTGACTTGAGCTCATTCGCCCTACACTATACTCATAAATGGCGACTGCAGAAACTGAATATAATATATACGTATACATTTTTGTATAGTGTATTATGAAATAAAGACTGATAAATTTTTAAAGGAGGGGGAGGGGGGGGGGAATAAAATATTATTGTATACACAAAAAGTTGTTATTATGATTTTTTCATACATTGTTATGTTTAATAAACTTGCTTATGATCGCTATTACATTATTATATTATGTAAATGTAAATTAAACTTATTAAGTAAATTAAACTTAACTATAAGGCGCAATCCCCAAATACCTTGATGACATTTTACTGGAAAGGTAACATATCTTGCTAAGAATTCAGAGAATTAATACTTCCTTTTATACCCGATAATAAGAAAGTGTCGACTTTACGACGAGATATCCAGGAAAATCTCCGGCTTGGATATTTTTGTTCCAAGATCTAAAATATTTAAAGGAGCAGTAAAACAGCACTTACACCACTCATTCTAATATCACATAAGTTTTAAATGAGAAAAATATGACAGTTTAGTTTGTACATTTAATTCATATGTATAAGGTGGCGAGCTTTCGGGTTCATTATCACGTGCTCGGCCGTGAAGGAAAACACCGTGAGGAAACCTGCATGTCGAAGAAATTAAAAAAAATATATTTGGAAGACATGAAAAGTCTGCCAACACGCATTGTGACAGTGCGACGAACATTTCCTCGTCCTAAAACTTTTAGAAATGAGAGGAGTTCTGTGTCCAGGACGCAGACTATAACTTTACTTTTGTGCATATGATATTGTAATAGCGGTCTAAATCTGGGGATAATAACGGTTTTGCGCTAGTGTGTGTGTTTTTTTCCAGGTCTTATGGTATATTGTGTTATTGTGTGGATTTATTGAGTAAAGTTTTTCATATTGATTTAAGAACTTATTAAGACGAGTTTAAGTGTTAACCCTAAACAGATACTTAAATTCGTATATTACATGTCGAGATATCTGTATTAGAGTTAACTGCAACACGGGTGTGAACATTAATATGGTGTCATGAACAGAATCGAATTCATACATAAAAAATACATAAACTTTCAGAAACAGAATGTTATTTCTATGGCCGCTTGTGTAACGCGGACCATACATTGTTATGGGCTTGTCGAAAAACACGTATTAACATTCAGGAAAATAAAACAACTTTTATTTTTTAAAGTTGGATGCGTTTGGCGAGCACTTCATTTTCACTTTACTCATAAAATAATTTTAGTCTAAAATATGGAGACCTTTAAATTTAGTAAAAAAATTAAAAACTCCTTAAAATGATATTTCAATTACCACCTCTTACGTAAACAAATCCCTTTCAGAAAAGTTAAAATAAATTTAATTATTTTATTTTAAATTTTCTGAAAGGGTGTATCACATCTTACATTTATGGGCTTCAGATTGAATAACCTAACGTTTTTTTCATTGTAAAAGAAATAGAAACCATGACAACTCACATGGTCAAGTGTCAATTTTAGAGTGGTTTTCATTTAATCTTTACCATGCAGTTAAATTTAAGACCTCACAAACAGGACAAACATCAACCAATTGCTCATAACCCATTTCAGGGAACACCCATTAGTACTATACGTGTTCAGCAACCAAAGAAACATCCATACATTGTTCAATGAACAGACTCGTTCAGGCAGTCTCTGTGTGAACGACACAATCATGTTTTATAGCGGTAAGGCAATGAACATCATATCCGTACGATCTTTTGCAAAATATAATATGAAATTAAAAAAAACGTAATTTAATAAAAGCGGTCTAGGTACGACCCGAAAGGTTCACACAACTAACTTCCTAGTGGAAAGAATAAAAAAATATCATATGTTATTATTCGGCACAAAACACGATTTCACCAATTTTACTCAAAATTTAATGAAGTCTAAGTTACATAATTATGCGTTAAATGAAACTGGTCCCATTGCAATATCACTCTTTGTTCTCGTGGAGTGGAGACGTGGAGATATGTTAAAGTTTCCAATTTGCCGAATCGGACCTATTACTATAACGTCCTACTGAGAAGTTACTAAGTACTTTTATCTTCTATAGAAAAAATATAGACTTCAGCATTGAACCATAATTATTACATTTTGCAAAGAATCGTACCAAAATAGGTGTGGAAATGGTTAAAGGTTTCTCAACAATCGCTGACATGAATGCATTGCCGTATTAGCGATATGTTATAGAAGCAAAAGTCAAAACATAAATCATACGTATTTAATATAATATAAAATATATAATTTATTTCAATAATGAAACCCATATCAACTATTTTATATAACTTAACTCTATAACATTGCGCTGTCTATTGTTTTCTGCATGGGGTGGAGGTTTTTGTGGTGGTGGAGAAACGGTGAAGATTATTTATTTAATTTTTCGTTTATTTTAGAACTAAAACCATGTAGCCGCTGTGGTTAGCTAAATTTATTGACCGTTAGTATTAAGATTCATTTTTAATTATTGTTTATTGTATTCTTCGTTTCTACTGTACTTTAATGCAAATAGAAAAAATATATCTGTATACTTCTATCTTTGGACATAATCTATAATTCCTGAAAACTGTAATCTGTGTTTAGTATTCAATTTTCAATATGCTCTCTACGACATAAAATTTGCACTCATTGTGCATACCAACTCTGGGACAAATGTGGACGACATTGTCCAGAAACCCAAACTGTCCACTGTGTCAAATAGACTGATTTCCCAAATTATATCTAGTCACAAAATTATACAAAGCGCCATTTTAAGCAATGCATATAGTGACTAAACGCACAACATCTCACATTGTCCCCAGAATTTGGTATCAGTAACAAAACTAAAAATGTAATTGTAAATAGAAATATCAAATTGATATACTTATTTAAATATCTGTGCATGTATATCTAATTTTTGTTTGGTTCTTTAGTGAGGTATGTTCATGACATCTTTTATTTAGATAGAATACATTATTAGCAAGCAATAGCTTTCATAACTTTTGCCCTAAGCTACATATTTTTACTATTTGATACTTATATTTAGCTCCTTTCTATACTCACTCGTTTGCCAGGTACATTATATATATATATATATATATATATATATATATATATATATATTACACAAATTTATAAATATGCATTTATAACTAAAAATAAAATATATAAATGCATATTTATAAATTTCCTTTGTTTACATGTTTTCTAATACACAAAAAACCACATAGAAAGCAAATTTATTTATGTCTAATCCTGTGATCGACTTGTTAGTAAATAAATGCTTATTAAGTTTTGATATAGTAACCATATTTGAAAATTGACAATAAAAGATAGATAAAAATAAAATCTTTATATTTCAAAAAACATTATATACATTTTAGAAAAAAAATCTATTTGTATTGAAGTACATATAATGTATGCAATATTTATGTATATAAGCAGAATTTTATCAGCAGTCCCCGTTTCTTTATTTCAAAGTATACTATTTTATTAATTTCTGTCTAGTTCTAAAATTTAAAGACTGTGATGAACTAATTTTCGCTAGTAACGGTGGTGGTCTCACTTTATTTGTCTTGTATGCTCAACCTGTAGAGAGAAGCCGCTGGTGCTCTACGTTTTCTCCACGGACAAGAATGTTGTGTCGAATATTGTCGAGAACACTAGTAGCGGCGGGATGTGTATTAACGATACGATGATGCAGATGGGAGGTTTGGAGCTGATTTTCTCTTTTTTTTTTAAGTTTTATGAAATGTGAAGTTCGGAAGTTATCGAAAGTAATTCATTTAAAATTATATTGCACGCCTCATAAGCGAAGCGTTGAGGTTGTGCTCTACTCTCACCTAATGAAAATCCAGTAATTTTCTGAATTAAAAATGTCTTTTTAATGTTGCACTTTTAGAATAATAAAAATACACATATATCGAGAAAAATCACTCGTTTTCATGTTTTTATTATTTTTAAAAGTAAGTTTCTGGTTTTAGTGTAAAAACAAACTGATTAAAAATCGAGTGTGGCCGGATGTCTGTGTGTGTGGATGGCGCTCGAATCCGGTCTTTAGAATTAATGTATCAAAATAATTCTTTTTTTATTAGGTTTCGAATCTCAACGCACAAGTTCCTTTTAAAAATCACTGAGTAATTTGGTCTCGTTTAATTGTAATTAATGGAAATGTAAAATACAACTGGTACTTATCTACAAAAAATATTCTCATGGATCTCTTCTTTTATCTCAAATATGGAAAAGATATATTTTTCTTTATATATAATCAAATGAGATTATGAGGCGTTCACTTTTGGATTTTCCAAACTTTATTTTTGTCTATTTAGATGTTAATAGATCCATAATTATGAATATGAATAATATAATTAAGGTATTGATTGGAACTTATAGGTAGTTTTTGCTTATTTTTTGATATTTAGATTTGTAAAATAGAAACGCATGCTTAAGTATTTTTTTTATAAAATAAATTTCTTACTTTATAAAAAATTAAGAACACTGTGCTAATATATAGTAAACTTGCATGACTCTAAATCTAAAGTCAAATCTATATAATATATATAACTAACTATAACTGATAGCTCTTCTCTAATTCTACAATATAATTAACTATTTTTGTCTTAATTTTTAAAAGTCTTTTTAACATGTTATTATTTTGTATATTACAAAGACGTGATGTTTATTATTCAACGTTGTTTAGCAAAAATAATCTCAATCGTGAGTTAATAATAAAGGCCTTATTTGAAAAACGAGTTTTACTGCGGACTTGATGTGTCGCAGGTAAAGCTCGTTGGTCGATCATCGTGGTAGAGCCGTATTATGGTGCTGCAGCTATATTATGGTTGAACCACAAATGGGTCATTGCAACCGAGGAAGGACCACGCTCTCAAACAATACCAACATAAAATAGCAGCTTAATGCTGGTAACGAGGCATTCTACTTTAGTCCTCGGGGGTAACAACACTGCATTTTTCGTTTCTTAATCGAGGATAGATTTAGGTACTATGGGCCACAGCACCCACTTGCATTATAGTGATTGTTTTTTCGATTGTCACTTTTATTCTATAAAATTATATATATATATATATATATATATATATATATATATATATATATATATATAATAAACTAAAGAAATATTGTTTGTTTCGCCTGTGTATCAGGAACGACGAGGCGCGAGCCTCTGCACACCTGTGCAGCAAAAACGCCGTAATCTGTAATACAAGTTAGTTGCTCGCCCGTCGATCAGGGCTTTAAGGATATTTATTATTATATCCTATACCTTTAAACGAGCAATTCTTGTATATATGTATATATATATATATATATATATTTATATATATATATATATATAATTGGAATCTCGGAAACGGCTCCAACGATTTTCATTAAATTTAGTTTCCAGGGAGTTTCGGGGGCAATAAATCGATCTAGTTAGGATTTATTTTTAGAAAATGTCTTTTTGTACGTGTTTTCAGGCAATGAGAAACTGCTACAATATAAGAAGGTAAATTTTGACACTGTGATAATGATCGTAGTAGCTCAAGTGGATATCGAGCGGTCGTGAAATCGTAATGACTTGGTTCGCGTCCCGACTTCGGTCCGATTTTTTTTCAAGTTCCCTTCTTTTGTGAGAAAATCTATTATTTCGAGCCCTTTTTTTAGTATTTTTTACAAATACGAAAATTTTAATTAAAGTACTTACACTCATTATTTTTTATTCAAATAACCAGTTCAGTTTTTTCTATTATGTCAATAAGATTAAAAAATATTATTCATCAGTATGTAATTTGTATCTAAATGTAATTTAAAAAAAACGAGCAATGCTCGGTCATCCGGGTACTATTAATATATATGTTATGTACGTGGTAGCGCCACACTGCAGTTATATTATGGTTGTAGCACGAATGGGTTGGCTCGACCGGGGAAGGACCACGCTCTCACAGAATACCAGCGTAAAATAGCAGCTTAATGCTGCTATGTTTCGTATGGTGAGTGTAGTGAGAGCCGGAGACTCGTTTTACTGGAATCGATGCATTTTATATTAGTCCTCAGAGGTGACAACGCATCTGCATTTTAATTTTTAATCGAGATTAAATGTAGATGTGTATGGGCCACAGCATCCGCTTACCATCAGGTGGACTTTGTGCTCGTTTGTCACCCTTATTTTATTTAAAAAAAATACGTTAAACGTTATCACAACACTACGATTTTCTCCTGTATCGTAGAGGCAGTTTACATACATAAATTGCACAAGGACAAACATCCAGACCCGGAACAATTATATGCAGGCCATACAATTATTGTAAATAAAGCGATTGTTCGATAAGAGATATTTGAAAAGATTATTTAATTTCACATGAATCTAGAGTTGTTTTATCTCTTACTACGTAGAGTACAATTATGTATTCTATGCTCTTACGTTGTTCGCGTTAAGGCGGAAGCGGATGAAGTATAGCACCCATTATAGTCGATAATACAAGCCCCCTGCTTGTCCTGCATAACAGGTTTTTTTTAAAGATTACTAAAAGTAACATCCTAAGCCTATCCACGTACATTCATCGTCAGGTCACCACTCTATACAGGGATGTCATGTCATGTCGTGTCGGTATACTTTTTTTTATAGAATAAGGGTGACAAACGAGCACACAGTCCATCTGAAGGTAAGTGGATGCTGTGGCCCATAGACATCTACATTTATCTTCAATTAAAAATCAAAATGCAGATGCGTTGCCAGCCCTGAGGACTGAGATGGAATGCCCCGTTTCCAGTAAAAAGGGTCTCCGGTTCTCTACACGAATCTCACCATACGAAACACGGCAGCATCAGCTGCTATTTTACGCCGGTATTCTGTGAGAGCGTGGGCCTACCCCGGTCGAGCCGACCCATTCGTGCTGACACCACAATATAACTGCAGCGTGGCTCTATCACGTAAAAATACGATGCGAGTAGCGGAAAATCGGAGTATTTTAAGTTTTACACAATTGTAGATTGTTTTTGCTAAACTACATATAATTATACTTTTAAATTTCAATATGTTTGGAATCCATGACCGCAAAGGTCGTAGATGAATAAAATCAAATACACGATGCATAAAATTAATAAAAAAAGTTAATTTTAACGTAACTACATACAGAGTTAATACATATATGTAACGTAATTCAAATTGCGATGTATCTAGTAAAATTATCGTCTGTCACGTACTAAAGTTAAAGCTAAGTTAATAAAGTTATACTTTAATCTATTTAACGTGTGTTCACAGTTGAAACGTTGCCCTTCGGTGGGGTAGGCAACAGTGGAATGGGCGCTTATCACGGCAAGGCCACTTTTGATACTTTCACGCACAAGAAAAGTTGTCTTATTAAGAACTTTGCCGTTATAGGCGAGAAGCTTGGATCGTAAGTATTACGTTTAAATATTTTTTTTCTTATGTTTACGCAGACACAACACATTGAATGAAACTAGTTTTACGGCTTTTGAACTCAATTTAATTCAAAACTTGTTTCATTCAATATTACGTTTAAACACTTTCATCGCTTAATCGAATTCTGAAATCATCATTTATTTTATACACCGTTAACACCTATCGAAGGTCCACTGTTGAACATAGGCCCTCCCGCAGATTGTCTTATAAAGTGGACACTTGCCATAGTTGCCACGCTTGGCAAGCGGATTGGCAACCGCAGTTTTTTTTTGTTATTTTTTATAGTATAAGGGTGACAAACGAGCACACAGTCCACCTGATGGTAAGTGGATGCTGTGGCCCATAGACATCTACATTTAACCTCGATTAGGAATTACAATGCAGTTGCGTTGTCACCCAGAACTAAGATGGGACGCCTCGATTACAGTAAAACGGGTCTCGGGGTTGTTTTTATTAGATAGACAATACTGCTTATCCTAGTTTATTTCCCTCTGTCGCCTTTTTTATACAAGAGAAGGCAAACGAGCATATAGCTCACCGGATATGGTAAGCGTCTACTAATATCAGGGAAATTGCAGGTTCATTACCGTCCTTTTAAACGGGATTAAACATGAATGTCCCTAAGTCGTATCGGTGCGGAAAATTCTTCGGTGGTAAACGTTTCCATAAAGAAGACGTTCGAGGAAAAAACTACCAGTAACTCTCATATTGGGGGTCCGCCAACCATCCAGATTGTGTGGAGGGTATAATAGAATTTAGCGGCTGGAATTAATCCAACCCATTCCTTTGAGCACTCCCCATGCTAAATGCAATAGAAGATGTAACATCTCATAATATATCGCAATAAAAAATGCAAAGGATACATCTCAGCAGTGCATCGAGCTGATCAGAAAAAATTCTGTTTTCTACAACTCTGGCCGCTCTTCGATAAATGCGGACAAGTGGAAGAAGCTGGCACTGAGAAATCAGAGATGAGAACAGTATTCCATGCGAGACCGGACCTGTGCCTTCTTAAGTGGCAAGAAATGTGCCAGCATGCAATCCTGTCTTGCTTTGCTAAACACATCAAGCTTTTTAGAGGTCAATTTAGCCTTTCCTTCCAAGTGTCTGCGGAACTGTACGGCATTTGATATGACGACGTCGAGGATTCTGATGTCGGCTAAGACAGCAAGGGGAGTGCCCTGAAATTAAAGAGGTTTTTCTTACTGGAATCTGGACTAGATTTAGTCGTCGAAGCAAGACAAACCGACACTTTGTCTAACAAAGACACGACTTCAGATATAAATTTATTTTGGTATTCGACTCCCGCGAAATATTGGCACGGCTGGTGTATAAAGCATCACCAGTGCTATCGTACGCATAGCAATGATTGTTACTAGCTTGCAACATATTGTTATGCAGAAGAAACAGCGTAGGTGATAGCACGCAGTCTTGTGGAACACCATTAATAGGCTTGTAGTCGGATCATTCATCGCCTACGACCTTGATGCTTTGATCTGCAAGAAAACTAGTCATCCAACTGCACAATTACTCGGAAAGGCCATAGGAAGGAAGCTTCGAAAAAAGCGCTTTATGTCAAACTCTATCGAAGGCCTTCGCTATGTCCAAACTGTCAGCTAAGCCCTACCCCTTTGGACGCTACTGCTTCCGTTCCTTTGTGATACAGGTAAACTGGAAGATCACCAGTTGGGTGATCTTGACGGAAACCGTATGGGCGGTCACTAATCAGCTAATGGTCCTCAAGATACCTCATGAGCTGACAGTATATAATATTATATTAGATTATATTATTTTGGAGACCAAAGAGGTGATGGCGATAGTCCTGTAGTTGGACCGGTCTGAGTGGTCGCCTGTTTTAGGGATCAGGTGCACTAAAGCTGTATTTTATGAGTTCGGGACTACGCCTAGGGAGTAGACGACATCTTATAACATCCACGGGATATATGAAAGGGGGGGGGGGTTAGTGGATACTTTTACACTACCACCACACGATTATTTTATACACATATAATATAATAATATTAAATCATCATTTATAGTCCATAGCATACAATTATTTGTTAATGAATACCAATTACTTAATTTGTGTATAAATTTGTGCCCCATTTTAAACGTCATCAAAAAGAACTAGCTGAGAACATAGAATACTTATAATACACAATAGAATGGCTGTCAAACTTATTTTGTACGAGATTCAGCGTCGTCGGGAGCACACATAGAAGCAATTACGTCGTATTATCACTATTACGAACCCGATTCTCTGTTTTGACAGACTGAGTTACGCATTTTAGACTTGATTAATGTTCAAAATCATCATTAAAAAAATCGTTTTAATTTTAATACATATTTATATGTAAATAGTGTGCAATTTGGTATTTTCTAAATAATTTACACGCGAAATTTGGAAACTATTGTTCCGTCAAAACACATCTCGTGTTTACATTTATACGTGTGAATTGACATTTTAGTTGCTACACGGGCTCCACCCATCCCCCGTTCTATTATGTATGTATTATAGTATTCTATGGGTGAGAACCTCATCCCTTTTTTATTTTCGATTGTTCATTTTATGTATGATTGTTCATTTTATGTACGTTTGTTAAACGATATCTTCGCCAATTGTTAACCAATTTTAATGATTATTTTTTTTATTATATAGGCTATACACACACAGATGGAATCATTTAAATTTGAGGAAATTTTACACTATTAAAGGGAGAATAAAACCTTAATTGTTACTCAGATCATCTTATTTTTATTAAATGATATAATATAATAAAAAAATATTTTACTACTTTTACTACAGGATGCGCTATCCACCGTACAATGACAGCAACATGAGTAGGATTACAAGATTAATGGCTAAAAGGAGTATGCCGTCATTCAGTTTCTTGCCATACCTGTTGACGTTCGCTCTAGGAGTTGGGGTTTCTTACGGTATCTTCGCGTGGCAGAAGGTAAAGAAGTAACTTGTAATTATGCTCATTGTCAATCTATATATTATACGCTACAGTACACATTAACACAATCTGTAAACTTATTCTTGCTGCTTTAATTATGTATAGATGTTTTATCTCACGAAGGCATTACTCTGCTGCATAGCAAAGTACTCTTTAATTCTTATACATTACTGCGATCATTGTTTGTCCGTTTACTTGCCCTTGTAATGATACTCGATAACAATTTTAGACTCATGAGCTTACATACACTATAACAATGTGCATGTACAACACTATACACTATAAGTAATACAACCCGCCATTGTGATAAAAAATACTATGAGAGATGGTATCTCAATTAAAATGGACGATTATGCTAAAATACGTACACTTACACAGTGATTAACATTGAAAATGTTGTGTCGGTATTTTTCTTTCAGTTTGCAATAGATGTGTTAGATTATGTAACAAAAGTATATAGTGACAGAAAACTAAATATTTATTTATTTATTAACAAATTGTGTTAGATGTTACTTAGTGACTAAACAAAACATGCAAATAAGACATAATAGCAATGAACAGGAGATGGGCAGACACCCAAAAATTCTTTTCCTCAATGTTTTCTTGAATAGTAACTTTTTTAATAAGTATGTTTTTTAAAGAACTTATAAATTTATTAATATTTGTGTCGGCTTTTAGGTATTCTTGCAATTTATTATAAATTTTAATTATGTGATTAAACAAACTCACCTTAAGCGAAGTTCAATCACAATTATACGAAGCTGCCTTGACCGAGATATTATTACAATGTGATCTACGCTTTTCGTCGTCGTAGCCATCATAAGTTTCCAAGCTCTAACCACAAAAAAAAGAATGTGTTGTTTATGGATATAGTCTCTGTCAACATACAGACAACTTCATTAGTTGGCCCTTTCATGAACAACCTTTGCTTAGGTCTTAAGGGATGGGTGGGAGTCTAGTCTCGGACAAGGGGCTTCGTATAATTGTGATTGTACTTCACTTAAGGTAAGTTCATTTAATCACATAATTATACTCCCTCCTTGTCCGAGATATTATTACAATGTAGATGTTTAAAGGCTGGGTTGTGACTGAAAGAACTATTGTGCAATTTTTAAACCATGTGTATTTCAAACAAAGCAATTTCGCTTACATTGTTTAATTACTAGTTTGTTATATTCTTAATTAATGAATCAACTAACTTTTGATGTGTTACAAACAGTACTACTGAACGATAATGGATCTTATTGTAATAATAATAATCTTACGTATAAAACCTGGCAAAAGTTTCGGAATTTTTTGACCAACCCGCAGTCTTCCTTATGAGATGCAAATTTAAACCTGCCCTGTTCGCGGCAGAGGTCGCAGCATGTCTAGTGCTGTGTGCTGTAAAAATAGACATATTCTATTCCTGCCTTACTCAGAGTGGATTTAATCCATCGGCTTAAAGTCTGTGATGAGGCCGCTCGATGTGGTTCTGAAATGTTAAAAATAATTGTTGAGTATTGTGTCTGAAAAGTTCTGTTCTACTAAAATATGATGTTAATGTTTTCAACTGGGCATATTTCTAATTTACATGTATAACTTTTAAGATGTAAAATCGTTGGAAGTATATTTTTATCTGAGGTTTTTATTAAATCAGGAATTTGAATCTGTACCCCGGAGGAATTTATTTTAATATTTTGTAGCTTAATATGTGATAAAGTTTGTACCCTATGGCCTGTTGTAAGTTCTAATATAGTGACTAATTTTTTTGGTTGATAATTCAATCTCAATCGACTCATTTGGATACTGTAGTGCTAAATAATCTAAAACTAAGCCCAGATTCCATGTAACATTATATTATGGTCTTGAGGGATTTAACCCGAACGCTCCCTTAAAGAACCTCTTTTAGCCTAGCGTCACACCCCACTTTTGGTCCAATTAAAAGAGTTAAGGCAGATCTTGCTGTGTTTATTGTACCATATGATGCTCCACCATCAAAACGTTCACTTAAAAAAAAAACGACGGGTTGCACTCCAGGAGTGCCGGCAGAAGTGAAAGCTTGAATATTAACGTTGTGCATTTTTGATATTTAGGAATGGTTAGGGAATAATTTTGCACGAATTGCTTTAATTATCAGTATAAAAGTACTATCATTTATGTGGTAGAATACAATATTTTTTTTATTGCACTATCGTACACAAACATGACAATTTATATTACATTAAAAAGTTTATATCTCAGAAAAATCAACTTCCAACCATAATTTCGACGACTTCTGTCTACTCTCCATCCGTCTTACGAATTTTCGATCAGGTCACGTGTCCTGACGCAAGTTTAACATTTTTTACCCATTACAAAAAAAGTGTACAACGCCGCTAAAGAAGTTTTCACTTCAAAATTTAAGAATAAAAGGAATTGAAGCCTGATATGGATCTATATCAAAGGTCCTGCAATATTTCCCCCACAATTTAAGATGGAGTCATATTGTTTCATGGTATTTTCTGAGAGTGAATTTAACATGATCTGAAGAGCTGAAGTTGGGGTTCCACGAATTATGTATGCTTCGCTGACAACATCCCTGCTGCCAGGGTAAGCTGTCGATGGGGCGGATGAGTTTTCCTGTAAGGAGAGGACGATAGTGTACTATTTCGATTAAATAATAACAATTCATTCACCAAAAGGCCTTTTAACAATGGGAACTAAGGTTGTGAAGGCCAATAAGGGAATCCTCAATTCCTGCTGCTTTATCTTTTTTAATTTTATCTAAACATTTAAGAACTAGGGAAAATGGTGGTAATGCATAAAAAATATCTTTCCCATTTTATGGTAAATGCATCTACTGCTATGGCTTCTGGGTATCTTTTCCACGACACAAAATTTTTACATTTATTATTGTAATTTCAGGGTGACCAAATTTTTCAACAATCCTATTATAGGCATGTTGGGATAATTCCCATTCTATGTTTATTTTTCTTGATTCTGAGTCTGCCTCTACATTCTCTTTAGTATTGATATATGAGGCATATATAGGCATATATGATATATAAGCCTTATATTTCTTACCTCACACCATTGCCAGAGCTGTCCGGTAATATTATTTAAATGAATGTACTGTACTCCCCCTCATCTTATTTATGTATGCTATTGTTGAATGTAGTGTTATCAATTCTTAACAAGATCTCACAATTAAAGGGTGCGCCAGAGAAACTTACTTATTTGAAAGGTCAATATAAATAAAAGTACTTCAGTTATCGTTTTAATTCTTTTTTTATTTGAGAATACATCGCAAGTTTTTTTTCCATAGTGTTATAAATGACATCGGTTAAATGGCGACCCCCATTGTGCGTACACTGATTAAGTCGATTTCTGAAGTTCGTCTACTCTTCGCCACATATCAATAGGTATGTTGGCAATGGCGTCGCGAATATTGTTCTTGAAGTGAGCTATGGTCCGTGGTCGATCGACATAAACCAGGGATTTCAAATAACCTTATAAATAAAAATCGCATGGAGCCAAATCGGGAGAGCGTGCCGGCCATGGGAGATAGCCTCTGAGAGAGATGAGACAGTCAGGGAAATGTCGCAATAAATTCATTGGGCCTCGTGCTGTGTGTGCTATGGTTCCATCTTGCTGATACCACACGTCCCTAACTTTCATTTCTTCGAGGCTTGGAAGAAAAAATTCCTATAACGAGCTGCATTCACGGTAACTGCGCGTTAGTTTTCTTCAAAAAAATAAGGACCAATTATTCCCATTACGGATATCGCACACCGGACAGTAACTAGTTCACAATAAAGTGGCTTCTGGTGAAGTTCACGTGGATTTCCACCACTCCAATAATGCATGTTTTGTTTGTTGACGCAGCCGGAAATGTGAAAGTAAGCCTCGTCACTGCAAAAAACGACCGCGTCTTGAGGCAGGTTGTCAAGCAGTACTTCACATGCATTTTGACGGGCAACAAAATCGCGTTCATTTAATTCTTGCACAACAGCCAATTTATAGGGATGAAATTGAAGGTCTTCATGGAGAAGTCGTCGAACAGTGGTGTCAGAAATTCCCAGAGCAGCTGCATGTTTGCGAGCCGAACGCCGGGGAGAACGCAGAATTGACTGCCTCACTCTTTCGACATTTTCCGGAGTTCTGGTGTTCCGTTGATGTCCATTCCTGGGTTTGGCAACACTTCCACACTCCTTAAATGAGTGAACCCACAACAGAATCGAATTAAGACCAGGAACGAGTCTGTAAGGAGAAATTTCAAAACGAGTGCGGAAGGCACGTTGCATAGCAACAAGTAAGCGACAGATAAAAAAGAAACTCTCGACGGCGAATACCCGCTGCTCTCTAGACCAGAGTATGATGGCAACTGCCTAGAGGGGGAAACAAACTTGGGGACTTCCCCACTCCAGATGCCTCCTCTCGCTCTTCTACCCTCCCAACTCACCGCTCGGGAGATTTTTCAAATAAGTGACTTTCTCTGGCGCACCCTGTACTATATTTTTTTTAATTTGGCAAAACATTGCAGGCCCAGGAATGCTGCTCTTAATTCCTAATAATTAACATGATAATTCATTTCGCTAGTCGACCAAGATCCCGAAGTTCTCTCTGATCCCACCACTGCAAGCCAGCCTGTTTTGAGATATCCGTATGGATCGTAATGCAAAATTTTTGTTGCTTAATATATTTTTGCTTGTGAATATTTTACTTCCGCCATTCTAACTCTGGATGGATCAGATTTGTAATTGACATTTGCTTAACGTAATTGTCATAACATATTAGTAACGCTAGAAATTTCTCCCTCTCTAATAACTTTGTATAAACCCAACCATACACAGCTGGGTAAACTGATGTTAACCTACCTAATAGTTGTGAAAATTTTCTAATCTTACAACAACCTTTTCTTTTGAAATCTCTTATTTTTTCCAATATGGCCATTGGTTTTCTTTTGGAACAGTTAAGGATAGACCTCTTGAATCTAGATTAGTGCCTAAATATTTACAGGTCTGTTTCGGAATTAA